GACTGCGCATGACTTGTGGATGGAGCAACTCTGTCCCTACTTCTAACTAGGGAGCTTTAGCAACAGGGAATTTAAGCAAACCACGACGGCGACGACAAAAAGAACGTAGAAAAACAATAGATCTAATTGGCAGAACAATAGCCCAGCACGTTCGTTTTAAAACTTTGTACATTTCTCATTTCATGAGAGGTTGGCTATGCAGTGCCGACGAGCTCTAAAGAGAGCGAAACAACTGTCCACTGCTGCCGCTTCCAAGGAACCAACGCTGCGCATGCGTAGTTGCTTCCATTTCTTAGCCGTCCTTTGCAAAACAATAACGTGAAATCCCCGAAATTTGCGTCGTCTGCGAACCGAAACCGCGGCGACAAACTATTTTAATTTACATTTGGAACTCAACGTTACTTTTAAGCGTTATGTTGAGTTTCGAGGTCTGGCGCCCTATGAGACAGTAAAGACATGCAGCCATTTTCGTAATTCTAACTGAAGGTAGAAACTCATTTTTTAACCGACGTCTTCCGTGGCGTTGCTGTCATGACTGCTTAAGTTCCCTAACGGCGACGGCAACGAAAACGTCGTGTCGAAATCTAACTTAATTTTCGTTTTTGTAACTCTTTCGAGGTTATTCCAATGTGTTTTACTCGGAAAATGATGGCGAACTATTCAGGGACTATATCACTACGAAAGGCGTTAAAGTAAGGAGAAAGAAAGAAAAATTAACCGTCATGCGCTCACGTTCTCGAGAAAACCTAAAGTTTGGTTATTTCACGTTGTTCTTTTGCCGAGAACGGCAAAGAAATGTACCAAAATGTTAAACGCACGTCGTCGTGCTTAAGCTCCCTACTGACTAATTGGAGCGGACTCGCGACTTTTGTGACTGTGTCCTAACCTGATGTTCACACATGGCAACTTTATTATTACTGCTGATTAATTCATAGTTTCCTGTTTCCTCTTCCAAAGCCTTAATATCAAGGCTCCTTGGAAATTCTTGCTCGTTTGAGGCAGTCCGATGCGGCGAAACGTCCTCAAGCGGTATATTAGAGACCTTTAGATTCGACGACGACTTCGAGGACGAATCTAAAGGTCTCTATTCTGCGCGGTGTCGACAGAGTGATTTCTCTCCAGGCATGAAGATTTAAAGCAAGGAAG